TATGTAAAACATTGCGAAATAAAGAATATCTCTCGCTACCTGCCACAGAAAATCATCTATAAACAAAAAAAAATCAACTGTTTACAAACGAGCAGGCCATCAACTGGGTACATGAACAAGATGATTGAATGCGGAACCAAGCACCGTTTTATTATCCTGTTCATAGTAAATTAAATCTTGAAATGTCACTTAAAGTTCTACTCGGAAGTTTATTCGTCTTTTAGAATATTAGACAACACATTGAATTGTGTGAATATCAAAAGCAAGGAAACATTTCAGAATGTGTTTTTGTTTCTAAATATGATGATTGAGGTGTGGAAAGTCACTGAAATTTGTATATATTTTTTTTGCAATTCAAACATCAATGTAATTATGCTATCAAAAGTTACCAAATGCCAATAAAATATAAAATTGTTTGATGCAACTTCAAGGTTTCTAAAAGAACACCATGTATGAAAAGCATGTATAAATCAAATAAGGCATTTGTTGTATACTTGATCATTAACTCTGATGTAGAAATACCCTATTTACATATGCACATATGCTATTAATAGAGCAAATATGGTGATATGAAACAATAAATACACAAGTGTCATTTTACATTTGTATTATGGGAGTTTCAAAATCATGATGTTACAGAAATACTATGTTGATAGCACTGAAAAATTCTAAATTTTCACAGGATTTCTAAAGTCCATGCATGATTTCAACCTGATTATGATTAAACAATTTGGTTGTCAGCTAAAATGATACTGGTTATATATATATGGGTGATAGACAAGTGCAATTCTGACTAGATTAATAGTCTGCACAGCACAATTTGTAATGTAAAAATTAGTATTAGTGACGAATAAATACATACACAGAAACTGGACCATCTAGTAAGCATTGCTGATCGTTATAATACAAAACAATGCAACCTTCACAACCTAGAAATTGATGTGAATTTATACCAGCAACCTGTCAATTTGTATGATACTATCTACTGGTGCTTTGAGCAGAATCTGTAGTGGCACTGACAACCTACTACAACAAGGGTCCCTAATTTGTTTATTCACACTGACTGGAAATGTTCAAGACCAAGAGAACCGTTATCTCAGTTTCCTCACAACACAGGTTGTTATCTTCCAAGTTCCATATATCAGAACACACAAGTGCATTAAGCTGATTCCAGATAAGGCAAACTAGTAGTAATCTCTAGATGGAAGACAGTATCAATATCTAGTCCCACAGAAAATTCAACATAATATTACCCCTAGCCCTTTTTACTCAATTAACCACCTATTGTTTTTTTTAACTGACCCTAACGCGTTGATGACTGGTGCACTAAGAATACCACATTTGCTCCATTAGAAGTGCACATCCAATTGAAGTAAAGGTAAACCAACAATTACATCTGAACTTTGCAATACAACTTAGTTGATCAAAGACGCATCGCTGCATGCAAGAGAAAAACACTACTGATATCAAATACCGTATTGGTTTTATTAGAAGAGCATCTTTTAACCAAAAATAGTATTTGTTGTATACTGAATCATTAAAATTACTTATTTTGAAAATAGAAACACTTAATTCACGCACGCAAGTGTTTTGACATAGCAACAAGTACTGTGGAATACTTTATTTTCGCTGGAATTAATTTTCGCTGAAAAGGCTTTTTGGGCGTTTTGTATGGAATTTATTTTCACTGATTTTTGATGAGTTTAATGTGCAATATAGGAAAAAAAGTATATTCACTGGATTTTATTTCCACGGAATCATCCTTTCAGCGAAAATAAATTCCAAACGAAAATAAAGTATTCTACAGTATTTAGTATGTGTGAGCCAAGTGTGTGTGTCATCAGTGGCAAGAAGAGAATACTAAAACATAAATTGCAAGTTTTAATATCAGCTTTAAAGTGAAAATTGAGAGGAAAAAATAAACAAGCGAGTGATTAGAGGTCAAACGACAAAAAAAAATTATTTTTTAAATAATTCAGATCAAAAGCTTTTTAAAAATGTATAGGTTTGACAGGTTTTATTACAGCCACCCATTTCACCAACACTTTTAAGCAAAACACTACCCTACTTCCTTTAAAATATCTCCAATGACGTAGCAAAATAATGGGTATAGGTGGCTCTACACGAAGTATGTTGGTTATTTCCAGGTATTCACAATTGTATGGATGACTTCAAGTACCAAGCCACTAAGGGGCTTTCCAACATTATTGCCTGTCCGACTACAAGATTTTGAAATTAGTAAACTACTCGGCCTCCACGGAAAAATTTTAATTTCTTGCCTGATTTTTTATAAAAAGGAAGATAAAACTTTAATACACCTGTTTATACATTGCATTTGGACCCATGAAGTGCAAAATCCTTTTTTTTTCGCTTGGAATTAATTTTCTCTACTTTCGCTGAAGGAATGATTCAGTAAAAATAAAATCCAGCGAATATACCTTTATTCCTATATTTTACATTCATCTCGCTAAAAATCAGTGAAAATAAATTCCACACAAAAATTTCTTTTCAGTGAAATCTAATTCCAGCTAAAATAAAGTATTACACAGTATTTAATAATTGGGGCTAATATCTAAAATTTATGCCAAGTGACTACTAGGTTCAGCAAAATTGAAAACCACATTTATGTCAACCTACTAAGCAATGCATTTACCATGCTAGGCAAGTTTGGTTGATTCCAACTTGTGTAAATTCAATAAATGTAGTAAAGAATACTTGTAAAAAAGAAAAACATATTGCAATTGGTGAAATGGAAAGATTTTCCAATAGAATAAATCGTGCATCAATTTTAAAATTTATGTACACTTAATCTGGTTGGTTTGAACTTTTGTTATTTTTGCGTTTTGTATTTTATGTAAAATATGTTTTGGTTTTGATTGACTAAATCAAAAAAAATTACGCCTGACAGCCGACGAGGAATTTGGCAGCTCACAGCATGGGCTATACAGTTGGGCCATGCAGTAGATGTGCAAAGCAAAAATTCAAATAAACCTAGAGACAATAATAGCACAGTAACAAACTTGTTTCAAGTGTTCATTAAAGTGACATCACAAAGCCTAATTTCACAAAAAATGTATTAAATTTTAAACAATTTAAAACTAGCAATTAAATGAGTTCACACAGAATAAAGTTGACAGCCATATGGATTCTCGTCTGAACAAAACGTACATCTATATTAATATTTTATATTAATTGCATTCAAGCACACTATAAATATGCACAATATAAATTAATGCAGATTGTTTCTAGCTTGACCCCTACCTTTTTTGCAATTCCCAAACTAACAGCTGTTGACATATGAACAACAACTGTCACTGACAAATACAATGATTCCTACTTGACTTGTGAAAAGCATTATGCTCACACCAACCTTTCTTTAGACATTTAAAAATTACTTACTGTACAAATAGAGATTAAGCAGATAAACAAAGTAACAAATCAAATGAACAAGCATTGAACTTATGTTGGCATTCATAAAGTTGTAGACCATAAAACCACCATAAAAGATGCAGCTAAATGCTTACTAGACATAATTGCTTTGATAAAGCATTATCAGAGGTTTGAAAATATTAAACTAAGTTTAACATAGAAGATTGCTCATAAAAATCTGCAGAACTATTGAGGGCACATTTCTCCTGATTTGTGTCATGTACATAAGAGAGCAACTGCAATATACAACACATCAAAAGTAATCTAATGAAGCCTTTCCTTAAGGAAACCCTGCAACTGAAAGAAGCCCTACATTACAAGGAAAAAAACACCAAGGCTATGCAAACGGCACAGAGAGTAATGAACTCTGAATAACACCATGCCAGACTTTATACTTTTTGCCTTCCATGACCCGTGAATAACCTCAATATTCAAAATGCGAAGCCACTCCCACTCTTGAAAAATACTGCACATGCTCACCGCAATCTGTACCATGTGGACGTACATAAATGGGTAAACGCTACATAGCTTTTTTCACAACTACAAATGGTTATATTGGAATCTGATTCAGCATACAAATCTGGCTATGGATCTTATTCTAAACAAGGATGTTTCATGAATACTGTCAGCAGTAATAAGGATTTTCCTGACATTACAGATCATTGTAGTTGTACAGTTTGAATAAATTTAACTTAAATACAGAGAATCATGTTCATAATCCTAGTTGTCCCCACAGCTTACACTAGTTTTAAATGCCTACACACTAACCACGGGGTAAATATGCCAAAGAATAATGTGTACGAAATAAATAATGGGGAACTAAACAGACGGGGCCTAAAAGGCCTGTGAATCCAAGCAGTTCACAACAGGTCATACAAGACTGCAAGAGCAATGTCACCCTGATAAGATTATCACTGGATGAGAGACTCAGTTTTGATGAACATTGCTCAACACTATAAAACTGCAAGCCAATTCAACTGAACATTTCTAAGGTTTTTATTAACAGATGTTACATCAGTGAAAAGCTACTCGTACATAGTTTAATTTTACAATACAAGAATGTTTAAAATTAAGCAGTTATGCCTAACAGTCTTTGAAAATGCTAATTAAAAGTAAATTGCACAATGACTATGTTCTGAAATATATTCAGCAAATGCTGGGTTGAAACATGTCCTGTATAAACACAAGACTAAATTCATTTATAATTGTAATGATTAAATATTTGTGTCAGATGTATTACACAGACTACAGAATTTTAGGAAATTGTAGGGGTATCAAATAAATGATTTAAAAGTAGACAGTTAAATGAGTTGAAAGTCATTTAAAGAATGTCGAGATACTTGTATAGCGAATATTTAACATTGGAACTGATACACCACCAATGAACATGCCGGCCATGCATACGTATATTGACAACGAATAAAACCGAGGCATCAACCGCACTTCCGGGATCGATCTGCAACTACGCCCACTTCTCCCACATCCAAGATATGCGTACATGTGCCAGTTGATCAAGGTAGTATTACCCCAGTTAGACGTTAAAATATTACAAGATTTTCAAGCAAACTTACCGGTTGGTTGAGTTGCAGCTCAGCCCCGCCGTTGCCCCGGTCGGAAGTCATGGGCGGCAAGCTAGCTGGGTCCTCGGACACTGTGCTACCCGACACTATTGTTATATATGTTGATTTATTCCAAAATACGTGAAGTCAGGTTCTAAATAGCAAAGAATAAACATATTTCGATTGATAAAATACGAGTAATGCAGGGCCGGCGGATATAATTGCTGAATGTGCAGTCCGTTAGGCGTTATTGATAATATGCGTCGGTCCGAAGTCCCGTATGGCAACGGTGACCTAAACACGCGGAAACCATTTTAGAGTTAAAATAAACACCCATAACTGCATTGATGAATTTGAATGAACTGCAATATGGAATACGAATTGAATATCTTGTCAAAGAACGAAATTGTCAACGTGGTACTGACGTTTGACAACAACTTCACCTGGGTTTCGCTTCAAACGAACGCGACAAAATGGCGTATTGAAACATGCAGGACTTCCAATATGGGGCTGTGTTTTTGGCATTAAACGGATCAAATGAGATTGTTGGACGTGTGACTGCCAACGCAACTTCATCTCCATGTCAAAAATGGGAAGAACTGTTAAATACTCTATAAAAACGATGATTTTGCTGACTTGGATGTACCAGCACGTGACATAATGGCGGATTTTTTCCAAAACATCCAACAGAATATTATACTACGTGTACTCACTTTGACCGGTTGAATTCGCGATTTGTAATCCTTACAGGCAGATGTACGTCGACGAGCAAGCACTCCAATAGCCAAAATACTACCTGAGGTAGTTTAATGCCGGAGGAATTGCCAACACCGGTACAAATTTACAGCCCAAACGCGACAAACCCCTTCCTGGTAACCCTGATTCGTGTTGCAATGCTAGAAAGGTGACATCTAATTAGTATGCAATTCATCCCATGTAGTCTTCCGCAGGCAGTGAAAAATATAGTTCTAAGGTTGACACCATATTCTCGGCAACATGGTGCCAGTTTTAGCATTATATCCTAGTCGTTATCTTTATTAATAAGAAAAGACAATTTTAGTTAGGTTCCTATCAAATTATGTACGATTTCTGTCATACAGTTGTCTTCCTATGGAGTGTCGCATTGCGGCAACGGCACCGTGTAACACAGACGAAGAAACCCCGTCGACGTAGTCGCCTCATTAGCATGAGGATTATGATAATACGGGCATGGGGGAGGGGGGGGGGGGCAAGTGTTGCGGCTCTTACAAGTACGGTATTGTACATCACATACATACGTTTCAGAAGCGCTCTTTTTCTTAACACCAATAGTTTTGTCACTACGCAACAAGCTTCGTAACTTCAACCAAATGTCTTTTCAAACTCGATTACAACTGTAATCAAAGAAAGCTTAGAAAGAACTCCCGTGTGCTGAGAGTATTGAAGACACATTAAAAATTAATTAAAAATTACTTGTACCTGACATATTGACGGAAAAGCTGAAAACTAATTATGTAAATCAGGTAACAAATATGAACAGAACAGAACAAACAAATTATGAATTATTATGCTAATTAGAGAATTAATATGAACAAATTTTAACCCAAAATTAATCAGGCCTGTCTATTGTTCTAGAGCATTTATGTACCAAATTTTATTCAAATGTGATGATCAGTAATTGAGATATCAGTGTTAATTAATTATGTTAATTAGGAGATTAATAAGCATAAATATTCACCAAAACCTAATTGGGTTTCTGCATAGTTCTCTTTAAAAGTTTCATTAAAATCCAATTTGTGGTTCTTTATATATCAGTGGAACATTATGCAAATTAGGTAATTAAAATCCAATCAGGTCTCTGCATAATCCTAGAAGATCTATGTAGCAAGTCTCATTGAAATATGATGATTACTACTTGATATATCAAAAGCTGAAAATTAATTAATTATGCAAATTAGGTAATTAATATGTACTCATATTACCCTAAAAACTATCAGGTCTGTGCAGTGTCCTATGACATCTATGTACCAAGTGTCTATGTATTGTGTGCCAAGTTTCATCAAAATCCAATGAGTGTTTTATCAGTGGAACAGTCATGGAACAGCTAAAAATCAGCTAATTATCATGCAAATTAGGTAATTAATATGCATAGATTTTTACCAAAACATAATCAAATCTGCGCATTGGCCCAGAGCATCTATGCACCAAGTTTCATCAAAAACTGATGTATGGTTCTTGAGATATCAGTGGAACAGACGGACACACATACACACACACCCA